CTTCCAGATTGCACCTTCGACAAGGAGTCAGAGCTGACCCCCCTGGAGTCAGCCATGCTCGTCCTGGACTTCATCCGTGAGGAGTTCTCTGTGGCAGACAGGACGATGGAGGCTGTGCAGAAAATGGTGAAGGAAGCTGTAAGATCCTTTTCTTTCTCAGTAAATACGTGGTGCAGCTTTTGCCTCGTGTGGGTGCTGGTGGGAGCTGCCTCACGTGTGGGGTTCCCTCACTGTGTGCAAGCTCCTCCCTGCAGGGATGGGGAGTTCTGAGTGGAGCTGGCACCGAGCTGCTCCTGTGCCTGCTTCAGTCTGTCCTGTTCTTGTTCTCATCTGCAGGCTATCGTTGTGTGTATCAGAAACAAGGAGTTTGAAAAAGCTTCTGACATCGTTAAGAAGCACATGGGGAAGGAGCCCAGGAACCAAGTGAGTCTGTGCTGGGATGAAGTGGGAGCTGCTGGTGTGTCTAGAGGGGGTCAGATGTGTCCTGGGAGGTTTGGGGTGAGAAGACCAAAATGGAAACAATCCTGCTGGAGTGCTGGTCCCTCAGTCCCCCAGTGCTGCCTGTTTGGGTTGGCACCTTGGTTGTTACCCCCTGTCACTCAGCTTTCCTCACAAGCCCTCCAGGCATCACCATTTATCCCTTGATGAGCCTCCAGCTCAGTTCCCAGCAGGTTCTGGGAGCAGCAGGAGTCCCCACTCCTGTTCCTGCAGGCAGTAGGATGCTTGGGCAATGAAATAGGGTGCTTCTGCTGCTGCTGTCCTGTTCCCCTGGCCATTTCCCAGCCTCATCTCGGTGTTAACTGGCTGTGCCTGGAGAATGCCCAGCAGGAAAGGCCCATCCTTGCCCACACCCTCGCTGTGGCTGGCACCGATTGCCCTGTCCCTGCCCAGTGTTCTCACCTGATCCTGTGAATCCTTCTCCAGAAGAAGAGGAACGAGTGGCTGGCTGTGATCCGGGAGAAGAATCTGTCTCACCCAAAGGTCAAGAATTTCTCCTACGAGGAATTCCAGCAGAGCATCTTTGAGTTCCTCAGGGGCTACATGGACGACTCGGAGCCGGCGCTGCTGACGGTGCGTGCCCTGCAGCCCTCTAAACCAAATCCAGCCCCTCCTAAGGGGTTCACATGGTCAGACAAGCTGTTCCATCCATGGAACACCCTTGGGAGGGGATAGAATAGAATGGGAGCACAAGGAATTGTGTCTGTAATGTGCTGTGCTCTCTCTGTTTTCAGTTGTTGAAAAAGACTTTGGACTCTGAGCACACTGGCAAAGCAAAATCCTCGCTGGGGACCCCGGAGCCTGCAGATGGGCTGAAGGACCAGGCAGCAGCTCCAGAGGCCCCAGCCAGGGCAGAGGGCCCAGCCAACTCTCCAGAGGCCTTGGCAAGGGCAGAGGGCTCAGCCAGAGCTCCAGAGCTTGCAGGAGGAGCTGAAGACCTGGAGGGAGCTGCCAGCCCTGCCAAAAGGGCAGCTGCTCCCACAGCAGCTCCAGAGATGATGGAAGAAGCCGGTGGCTCTGCAGCAGCTGTGGAACCTATGGAAGTAGCCACTGACCCAGCAGCAACACCTGAGCACTTACCAGCAGCATATGAGATCCTGAAGGGCACCCCAGAGCCCATGGAAGTAGCTAAAGAACCAGCAGCAGCCCCTGATCCCCCCAGGGTGTCCACCAGGGAATCACCAAGGTGGGCACAGCACTCTGGCTCTGGATTGTGGATGCAGTTCAGGCCTCAGGTTCTCTTGCCAGGGGAAATCCCCTGTGTCCAGGCAGCTCCTAATTCCCCAAATGCCTGCCCAGCCAGGCCAGAAGGTGTTGAGGTGGTTTGGGTCAGTTGCTGGCAAGAAATGCTGCAGTGACAGGGAGGGGGCAGTGGCTGCTCTCATGGAGCAGCACTGGGAAGGGCAGGAAGGTGTGCTCCCCACACCTGGGACACTGTGCTGTGTGGGAGGGAGTGCTGGAGGGTTGGGAATGCCCCCTTCCGTGGATTTGTGCTGTAGGGAAGAGGGAATGCCCCATGCCGTGGATTTGCACTGCAGGGCCAGGAGTTGGGGATGCCAGTGGAGGGCAAGGCTGCATTTTGGGCAGCAGAGCTCCCTTGGCAGTTTCCCTACAAGCCTCCTGGTTGTGTTTATTTTATAGGCAGCCCCCTGGAGCTGTAACCTCGTATGGGATTTCTGTTCTGAGAGAAGCTTTCAAGATCCTGTCGGACTCCGGGGACTCGGACGCCCTTTTCACCAAACTGGACCAAACAGACTTGCCTTCCCCCAAGCAACTGTCTCCTTCTGTATCCCACAGAACCAAGAGATGCAGAGAAGTGGAGAATCAAGCTTCTGAGACCTCAGAGCCTCCAGAAATACCCCATAACATCAAAAACTTGTTCAGCATAAGCAATCTGATCGTGGAGTTGGACGGCTCGTCCAGCAAGTCGAGCGAGTGCCCCGACTCTTCCCAGGAGCACGTGGTCTCTTCTGCCTCCAAACCTGCTCCCAAAGTGCCTGAGGAGCCCTTGTCTGCCCAGAGTGAGAAGTATGAAGCCTCTCTCGTGTTCTATTGTCTGCTCTGCCCCCAGAGTTGTCTTGCTGGTGTTGGTGGCCTGAGCACCAAACCCTTGCCCTGTGTCCCAAGATGAGTGTTGGCCTTGCCCTCCAGGGCACAGCAAACCCTCTCTTGCCCTTATGTTTGGCTTTATAATTAATTCTTGATTAATGAAGAGGAGAAAACGTTCAGGTCCTGCTGCTAGTGAGGTGCTGCAGCTGGTCCTGGCAGGTGATTTTAGTACAAGGAACACATGTTTTTCCACACTTCTCCCACTTTCAGCATCCCTAGCCAGAGTCTGTAGGAGCATCCTTCTCTTGCTTCCCACCTGTTAAGAAATACAGTGTCCAGGGGCTGGCTCTGCTTGCTTGGTGGCCCTGCACCTGCTCCCCAAAGCACCTTCTCCTGAGCCAGTAGCCAAAGTAAACCCTCACCTGATTTCAGGTCCTTCCAAGGAAGGTGGAACAGCTCCTGTGGCACAGAGGAGAAGGACAGCTGGAGTGATGAGGAGGAGCTCTTTGCAAATGCAGGTATGAGAGTCCCCCTGGCAGGGATTACCTGTGCTAGTCCTGGCAGGGGATCACTCACAGGGGTCCTGCTGCTGCCTGGGGGGCTGAATTTTGAAACCAGGAATCCTGTGGGAAGGCTGGGATCAAGGAGTGGGGGTGCATTGCTGTCATGGGGTGCTCTGACTGCACAGCTCAGCAGTTAAGCACAAGGCAGCCTCTCAGGGAGGTCTGTACCTCCCAAATCATGGAAATGTAACTCTCTCCCTTGTTTTCCAGCATCACTTGAGAAAAACAAAGCCTCCAACAGCTCTGGCTCCAAGAAACAGGTATGTGGAGCCTTGTGTGCTTGCAGCAGGCCCTGCAGTGTCCCTGCAGCCTCCATGATAAAAGAGGCTGGAGCTGGGCCTGTCCTGCCTGCAGGGCACTGGGAATGTGCCTCAGTCCCTTTGCTTAAAGCAAGGTTTGCCAAGTTCCCTCACGCTGAGGGGTTGTTCAGCTGAGGGACACACATCTGGCAGCTGTTAGCCAGGAACAGGTCCCGTGTTGGTGCCACCAGGACCTCTGCTGGTCCCTGGGAAGGCACCTGCTGCACATCTGCAGTGCTGGGGTGTTGTGTGAGCTGCCAGGACCTGTGTGCCCTCCCTGCTGCTCCTGGCACGGGTGATGAGGGCAGCAGGCTGTGCCACGCAGCTGCTTCCTTGCTCTTTGCAGAAATGGACCATGGAGGAGAGCGAGTGGATCAAGGAAGGGGTGAAGAAGTACGGGGAAGGGAGATGGAAAACCATCTGCCTCAAGTTCCCCTTCAGGAACCGCACGTCCGTGATGATCAAGGACCGCTGGCGGACCATGAAGAAGCTGGGAATGCTCTGAGTTGAGAGCCACGGGACTTTCTTTTGGTTTTTGGACCTCAGTTTGTGTTTTGGAAGCTGGCCCAGAGTGCAGTCTGTGCCAGTGTGGGAAGTCCCTCTGATAGAACCATGACAGAGAGGAACCAGGAGCTTTGTGCTCCAGCTGGATCTGCAGAGATTGGTGTGCTGCACATGGCAGGGGCTGTGCAGCCTCCCAGCATGAATCCAGATCGAGACTTTTGTCCACCTGGCCACTGCAGCCTCTGGAATGAATCCCAGCTGTTTGCTCTGCTCAGGTGTGAGCAGAGGATGATCTCATAGGTGACTATTCTTGTGTTTGTTGTCTGTTCACTGAATCACTTGTTTCACTGTTTGCCATCACTCCCTTGTGGAATAGGCAGCACTGAGTCCCAGCACTTCTGTGGGGAAGAGATCCAGGCAAGAGGATCTACTTGTTGGGTTTGTTTTTTCCTCATTAATGGGGGACTAATGTGTGAGGAAAAATTCCTTCCTTCCAGCTCTGAGGCTTAAAAAAGCTAAAATTACTTTGTGTTTCAGTACTTGGATCTATTTGTTGTTTCCATACTGACATTTTTAGTTTTGTCTGACTTTGGTCATGTTTTCTTTGGACTTTTCCTGGTAATACCCTTGCTCTGTGTGAGCTCCAAGGGTGCCACATGTTCCTGCCTTCAAGTGCCAAAGCTGGAACGGTCATTTGTAAAATAAAGCTCCTTTTTTCTTTAGTAGCAAGAGTTGTGAAAGTGTGAATTTGTGTCTCGTGGGTGGAAATGCAGCAGAGGGTCACAGAATGTGGGGCTCTCCCTTCCCCTCTGGGAGTGCTGGGTGGGGAGCAGCACTGCCCTGGAGCTGTGACATGCTGGTGCACATGGGAAACAGGAGTTTCTGGGTTAGGTCAGGGGTGTGATACAGGGGCACCTGCTAAATTTAGTTTCTAAGTTTCTCTTGGCTGCTGTTCAGCCAAGCCAGGGCTGGGAGAAGTCTTGTCTAGGACCAGCTGCTTCCCCCTCTGTCCTTCAGCTGCAGCTGCTGCACTGAGTGTCCCTTGTCCCCTGGCTGTGGCCACGCATTTTCCTCCCCTTCCACAAATCCCTTCCCTTGAGAGCCGTGGGCAGCAGGAGCACCAGGTCAGGGATGTGGGGCAGTGCCAGTCGGTGGTGCCCCGTTGGCAGGAGCTGTGTCCTGTTCTTGCCTTCCCCAGGGCAGGTTCTTGCCCTGGCAGTGCAGGTGTCGGAGCTGCAGCTGGCACAGATCACCTTGGGCCACGGCTGCCGTGCTGTGGTTAATGATTACCCCGTGCCTCCCCCTGCCCTGCCCTGCGTGGGGAGGCAGTGCTGCAGCCCGAGCAGCAGGAGGATGCTGCTGCTGCTGCTCCTGGCTCTGCTGGGCCCCGCTGGCTGCCCCAGGACAGAGCCCCTGAGCGCTGGCTCCAGCCAGGAGCCGCTGTTCCGCGGCGCCGACCGCTACGACTTCGCCATCGTCGTCCCTGCTGGCACCGCCGAGTGCTTCTGGCAGTTCTCACACCAGGGAGGAAACTTCTTCTTCAGCTACGAGGTGGGTGCTGGGGACGTGGCCTGGGACATGGCTGACACAGCCAGGGGAAGGGGAAGGCTGGGCTGGATCCACCCCGTGCTGCTCCTGTGGCATCTCAGGGACTCTGCCTTTCTTAAGGCAGTATCATGGAACTGTTTGGGCTGGAGGGATCTTAAAGCTCATTTCCTTCCATCCCCTGCCATGGGCAGGGACACCTTCCATTTTTCCAGATTGCTCCAAGCCCTGTCCAACCTGAGGGTTGACAATTGCAGGGATGGGACAGCCACAGTTGCTCTGGGCACCCTGTGCAAGAATCTCCCCACTCTCACTTCAAGAAAGAATATTTTCCCAATATAAGCACCCTAATCCCTATCCCTCATCAATCCCATGCATTTTTGAAACTACCTGGTTTAAGCTCATTAAGAGGTGCTGGGAGCTCTGGCATTGTTGGAAGCTCTGCCCTTCACTGCCTGGCCAGAGGCCGTGGCACAGCCTGGCACAGAGTGTCCCTGAGCTCTGTCCCCTTCCCACAGGGAAACTCCAGCACTTTCATCTCCTGTTTACACTGGGCTGCCTGAAGGAGAGCCAGGGCATGGCTATGCCTGGCAGTGGCAGCTTTCCCCCAGCTCTGTGCAGCCCCACAGGAACACGTCCTCAGGGTTTGGCACAACTCCATCCCCACACAACAGGACCCACAAATCCCCCTCGGGTGTCCCCTGACTCCAGGTCCAGCGGGCAACGGGGATTGGGAACAGCAGGAGCATCCTGGTGACAGCGAGTGACCCCAATGGCTTCCAGCTTGGAGTGTCCCAGGACGTGCGAGGACAGATCAACTTCCTCACCAAGGACACGGGTGAGCCCCTGCAGCAGCTCTGAGCCTGCCCAGCCAGGGCTCCCCAGAGCCCCCACTGCTCCTGCAGGGCTGTGTCTGCCCGGGGCCCTTCCACCAGGGACCAACAACCCCTTCCCTCTGCAGGTTTCTACCAGCTCTGCCTGGACAACCACCAGAACCACTTTGGCTTAATGCAGGTGTATCTCAACTTTGGTGTGTACTATGATGATTTCAACATGGAGCACAAGCAGCCAGCAGAGAGGAAGGAGCTGAACGACACCCTGGAGGCAATTGGGGTGAGGGTCAGGGCATCCCAGCAGAGCAGGGCTGGGCATGTCCTGAGCAGGGCTTTTGCTCGGGCTGAGTGCAGCACTGAGCCCCTGGGGCAGCTCTGAGCACGGCTCTGCCTCTCCTGCAGGCGAGCATCCAGAAGCTGCACATGCACACCTTCCACATGTGGCGCTTCTACAACTTTGCCCGGATGAGGAAATGGGCTGACTCCTTCCTCCTGGAGTCCAACTACAACTACATCAACTGGTGGTCCATGGCCCAGAGCTGTGTCATTGTCCTCTCCGGGGTGCTGCAGCTCTGCTTCCTCAAGCGCCTCTTTCATGCCCAAACCTCGGGCAGCCAGAGGTGCTAGAGCAGGGCAGGGATGCCCTGCAGAGCCAGCTCACCTGGCTGCCACTGTCCCACCACAGAGTAGGAGCAGAGGCTGGATTCTGCTTCCAGGAGGAGGCTGGAGAGTTCCCCCTGCTCCTGCCTCAGCTCTAGCCCTGGCATCACCCCGAGAAAAGTCAAAGGCCACACTGTCACCTGAGCTCTGTGTGCTGCGTGGGTTTGTCACATCCCTACCCATTGTTGGTGTCTCAAGGGGCTTTTTCTACCAGACTCCCAATAAAGGAACACCTGGCAGAGGCTGGGGAGCGACTGCTGCCTGCTAAAGCCATCCAGCCTCTGTGAGACTAAAAGCTGCTGGTCCCTCCCTCCTTCCCTCTATCCCTCCCCTGAAGCTCATCCTCACTCTGAGGCTCCCCCCAACCTCTTCAATCCCACCAAACACATCCCAGTGTGTCACGTTTCCCACAGGAGGAACAAGGACTGACTCCCCCTGGACCTCCACACCAGACAACAGGCACTGAAAAAAGGATCAGGCTTTATGTGACAGGGCTGGGGCCAGGGCCCGTCCTCCCGCACTGGAGGCAGCCCCCTGAGGGCTCTGGGGTTCTGTGCTGGCAGCTCCCCACACTTCCCTCCCACTCTGGGCGGGCTTCCCACACCCACGGTGCAGGACACAGTCCGTGCCAGCCCAGAACACTCACAGACAGAGCACAAGGGTCCCCTAGGGTCCCTCATGTCAGCGTGTCCTCATTCCGCACGTACTCCCCAACGTCAGCTTGATGGAACACCACGATGGCCAGGGGGTCGACCTTGCGGCACTCCTGCGTGGACTTGGCAGCCACCCCGAAGCCCTGGGGGTGAAGGGGACGTGAGGGAGGGTCCGCCATCCCCTATCCCCCCTCAGCCCCGGCGGGGCCCGGGCACTCACCAGCGGGACGTCGGCCATGGAGTACACCACCACGCCCTGGTACTGCGCCGTGCTCTCCGTGATGCGGCCCAGCCCTGACTTCAGCACGTGGTTCCCGTAGAGGAAGGACTGCTCGGAGCCTGGCTTCACCCACACCTTGTACTGCGGGAGAGGGGCAGGGCTGTGAGGGGCCGCAGGGTGGGCAGGGGCCTTGGGGCTGCTCGGGACGCTTGGGGCAGTG